TTTATGTAACATTTTACCATAATAAACTTTTTTTAATTTATTTAACATTAAAAAAATAAAATCATCGTTTCTTTCAATTCTTAAAGTATAACATTGTTTATCAAAACTAGAATAAATGACAAAGTATGTAAATTTTAAATTTAATACCGCCATGCCTAACTGTACTTGTCCATAGTACTGATGCTTTCTTTTTAAGACAATATTTTCTTTTTTTCTTTGCAAGCATTTATTTATTTGACTATTCACAGTGTTTTCGATATTTGCAGTTTTTCCAACAAATGGACACTTTATTTCTAATAAAGCAACTGGTTTATCATTTTTAATTATAATTCCATCCGGTGAATAGGTCAACCATGAACTGAGCTTGAGATAACCAGTCCAATTTCAACTACTTCAGCATTTGTACCTTTTGCAAAAGCTCTGCGTGCTTCTGCTTCAATCTTTTTCCCGTATTCAGTAAACTCTGTTTTAAAATTTTTTGGCTTTAAAATATTATCACACTTCTTGTTCCAGTCTGCATTTTTATTATTCGTGTACGTAAATAATTCATAACAAGTAGAACCTGTTATCCTATATCTTCTTTCTTGTATCCAGTAAGCATACCAGTCTTTAGTTTTTACACAAATCTCTTCAACATTTTCACTGAGTTCATTAATCGTATTAATACAACATTCTTGTACTGTATATACTGGTAATTTTTTTATTGCAGTTATCAGTATACTGTCTTGAAATTTAAAAATAATTTGAATAATTTCTTTTTCAATATTATTAGTTTTACTTTTGTTCTTTGTGCTTACTAATGTGTGCCGTCCTGACCTATAAACACACAAATTGTGATGTTTATAAATTAAAATCATGTTTATAGTTAAAAAGACATTTTAAGTTTAATTTTTTAAATTTGTTTTCTACTCACATATGTTTAGTTAAAGCAGAATCAGATAAATCTTTGTATATAATATTTTTAATTCCAGTTTCTTATACCAGAGAAAGTGCAAGGACTTCTTTTTCCCTTTTAGCTTTTGTATGATAGGCATCATGTTTTTTTAATGATTCTTTTATTTTTTCTTCAGTCTCTTCTCTCTCTTTACCTTTTTCTCCTATTAATTTTAGAGCACTCTTAACAATTTTAATTTTTTGTGGAAGTTGTGAAAGAGAGAAACATTCATGTTGCAAAAGAGGAGCAGAATTATAATTTTGCAAAACCTTCTTGTGCTTTTTTTCTCCATTCACATTCCTTATCACATGATAAGACTTCTATTTTATTACTATTCCTGAAAAAATCTTTTCTGGAACTAGCTAGAGTCTAATAATAGTAATATTAATTACTTTATTTTAAATTAGGTTAGGTGTACTTACTGATAGCAGTACAGCAAAACAGCAATAATGTGTTTACATCTTTCTCCTAATCCTGCTTTACAAGAACAGGTACATGATAATATATCTTTCGAATTTACATCTCCTTTAATTTCATGCGGAGTAAGTCTTATATTTGATGTTTGTAAACACAGTGCTGTAAATGAGACCTTCCCATCTGATTCCACATTTTTACCACATTTAATTATATGTCCAGCCTTCAAAACTCTCTCTCCTTCTACAAATTTCCTTTCTGCAGGATTTGTACCTGCCCACTCACAAATTTGACTAACAATATTATAATTAAAAGTTATTTCCCTATAAGTACAATGTAAATGGCAAGCACTTCGTCGCCATATTTGTTAGCTACATATATTGGTCGCGTTCAGCAGACTCAACTGTTGCGAAGCGGATCAATGAGCTCTCGCTGCTATTGGATGATCTAAAAGAATACACCAATAGCAGTGAGCGCTCACGAATCCGCTCCACAACAGTTGAGTCTGCTGAACGCGACCATTGGCTCCGCCCCCATGTCAGATCCTAATAGATGGAACTCACATTGCGATCTTTCCATCACAAACTGAACGAGAACATTTTTTCATTAATAGGAAACAATATCATTCATTGAATGTGATGATTGTAAGTATAAAAATAATCAGTGGTGTAAGAGATACAGTTTTAGTGTATAATTTATACATATAATTTTTTCTATTCTCTTTATAGGTTTGTTTCTATAATAATGAAATATTAGCAGTAAATGCAATGCATGGTTGAAGAACGCGCGACGCCAGAGTCTTTCATTCTTCGCTTTGTTCCATTATTTAGAAAGACAACAAGAAGCAGGCGAAAGAGGATCATGGCTTATAGGTATGGTTAATGATTAGATATGTTGTTCACACTATATTAATATTATGTTTACATTATGTTTTTATTAATTATCAACATTCGTAATTTTAACTTCCGTAATATTTCAAATACTATATAAATGTTTATCTCGTTATTGAAATGATTGATAACAACATAATACAACAATTTCGCAGGCATTTGGCCATTTGAGCCAATTGAGTCTTATATTGTGCGTTTTAATATTCTTTTTAGGAGATTCCGCCTATTTGTTTATGCCTTATCTTTTAAAACCATTCATAAACACACCTATAGGCTCTCCAGAGTTCAGATACACAGAACATTTTACAAAAGCGCGATGTTCTGCAGAAAGAAGTATAGGTATTTTGAAAGCGATGGTGATGCTTGCGAAAACAGAGGGCATTGCATTATCAGCCGGAATTCATAGGTATTAAATATAATTTTTATATGTAAATATAAAAAAATCTTATTAAAAAATGTAATGTTCTTTGTGATGTAATGTATTTATTATAATACTTTTTTCTTTTCTAGCTCATATTGTAAATGCATGTTGTGTCCTACACAATATTGCTATAAAATGAAGAATTCCAGAAAATGAAATTTATTTAGATGAGATAGATGAACAAGCACCAATACAATATGATGACATTGACGTAAATAACGCTGAACAAATACGACGGGATGTTGTTCGATGGTATTTTGAATAGACAAGGTATGTTGCGTTTCCTTTCGTTTTTTAATATTTTCATAACTAGCACATAAAATGTTAAAAGTTCAATTAACTTCTGAAATAAACATTCTTAGGCACAAACGTCAATAATTGATAAATGGCTAGAAATTCGTTTTTAAAGATAATAAAGCTTATTCTACAATGTGCTTTTTGTTTCCTGTTTCTTGCTTTTTACCTCTTGCTTTTTTCCCCTTTGCAACCGTTTTATCGACAATTATATTTCTTGCTACGTATTTGTTTTTTTCGAAGTTTGTTAACTTTTATCTTGGATGACATAAAACAAAAAACTGGATAAGAAGCAAAAAGACAAGATGTAAAAAAATAGCAAAAAGCAAGAAACAGAAAACAAATAGCACATTGTAGAATAGGCTTAAAAATTAACTTGTATATTTTTATCTTAGAATTTACATTTAAAAAATTTTACACTATTATTTTATTTGAATACTAAAAATTAAAAAAAATAAATATTAATTAAACACAAAATATTCAAATATCATAAATATTATGTTAAATTAACATTTCGGTATCTTAAACATTACAAAAATTTTTACGTTCCAGATGCGAAAGTTTCGAGCTACACAATTGTGCAAGATTATATTTCTTTAACGTATTTACAAGAGACTAAATGAAGTATTCGTGCTGAAAAGATTCTCATAAGGAGAATCCTGTGTCTTTACAGGCACACAAAAGAATATTAAGAATCACGGATTGGAAAATTAGAAGAATCTGTCAGAATTAAGTTTAAGCGATAACGATATAAAAATGATAGAGATTATTTTTATTGTTACTGAAGAAATAAATTATAAGGCTTAAATATAATTTTTTTCTTTTTTATTATTATCCAAATTAACAAGTGATACAAGAAACGAGAATGTATAATACATCCCTATTTTCCTTCGTTAAAATGTAAATTTTAATTCTTCATATAATTTTTTTCTCCATTTTATTATGCATTTAGCGATAGCAAGGAATATATAACGACAGTGTAAGCACTCGTGATTTATTTTTATGTATATTAATTATAAGTCGTAATGCTTGATAGGGAAAATATATGTTATGACATTCGAGGTGTATTGCTGCGGCTTGTAATAATTATCGTACAAATGGATAAACATTAACGAATGGATGCGGAAGAATTTATTATCTTTATTTAAAGTCCATTATTAAGACTTGTCCAGCAATTGCGTTATGTTCTCAAACAGCCTATAATTTAAATATCGCAATAGAAGGATTTAAATGGCGCGTGTACATTAGCGAAACGCTCAAATAACGTGTAAATAAGATATAATCGTGTAAAGCGATACATTTTTTAGTAGAACAGTATAACATTACGAAGAGTAATATTAAATTTTGCTAGTGGCATGCCTTAGTGTTGTATGCAAACAAGCAACAATTTACAGAGTTATCACTAATTTAAAGCACGTTAATTTTTTTATTAATCATATGTTTCTTGTGTTCTATAAAATAAAATCATTTTGATGATAGTGTTGTTCACAAAAAGTAAAGTTAAAATTTGTAGTATCATCACAAGTTTAAACATGTGCTACATGAATTACACATACATATGTATATATAGTTTTGGCCAAAATATTAGATACTTAAATATGTTGAGCTAGAACTTTAAATAATAGTTAATAATGGCTAATGTTTTTGACCAAGGCTGTATATAATCATAATATATCAATATGTGACAATCTTGCGTTTCGCGGGTTTTCTCCGTATTTAGATCCATTCTTGGAATGCCAACGTTTCGTGAACCTTGCAGTTCACTTCATCAGGGCGAGGAGCAGCCTCATACTAAGCTGTTTCCCCGGGTCATTCCTTTTATATTACGCTGCTTGTGTGGGGGGGAGGTGGGGGAGGGGGGAGAAGAAAATTGTGAGTCAAGGGGGGGAGAGGAATTCGGCCGGTTTTCAATAGCCGGGAGGATGGTCTTCCATATTTTACTTATATTGTAGCCATTATTTCTATTTAGATTGTTAGGTGTTTTTGTATTTCTATGGCTTCTCTATACTTTCTTGGAAAGTATGATGTAATGTTGGCTATTGTTGTTTTATCGAACTGTATTTGATGTCCTGTTTCGATATTGTGTTCTGATAGTGCCGACTGCGTGGCGTGTTTTAGCCTGACATCGCGTTGGTGTTCTTTTATCCGTAGGTTGACCATTCTCCCGGTTTCTCCGATGTATACTTGCCCGCAGGAGCAAGGTATTTTGTATACTCCTGCGGAGCTGAGTGGAGGTCTTTGATCTTTGGGATTTTTTAAGATTTGTCGTATCTTTTTGGATGGTTTGAAGATAGTTTGGATGTTGTGTTTGTTTAATATCCTGCCGATTCGGTCTGTTGTTCCTTTAACAAATGGAAGGAAGGCTAG